TTTCTTACTGAAACCAGTAAAATGACAGAAATGGATTTAAGAGGAAAAAAATCATAAGAGATGGAGAAACAATGATAAAATTCTTGAAACTAGAAAACAGATAAGAAAATAGTCTTAAGCCAATACCGAAACTTTCTGAAAAGGAACCTGATTTATTTTGGAGGGGGGATGCTGAGGATGAACTCAGGACCTTGTGCTTGTCAGACAGGCCCTTAAGCCACTGAGCTATCTCCCCAGCCCTAAGGATTCTGATGTATACCTCACTGGCACCAGGCATTCTAGAGGTAAAGATGAATGAGATGAAAATAAGAATTGGCTCATGTAAGAAACTGTGATCTCTACCAATGCTGGTAGCCAGAAATGTAACTCTACCTGTGTGTAGTAAAAGACTGGAGATTTTATTTCTGAGAGAGTCTGTGAGTTGAGGTCTCCTAGGTACAGACAGTCTGGATTGAGATCTTCTAGGTACAGTTCAAAGAGTTAAAGTGATAATAGTAAGATTTTATCATTGTGTATATATTGGATGTTAAGGTGCCCTATCGTCTTCCTTTGTTTGGGTATTAGAACACTGGCAACCAGGCCTTTTTTCAACAGGCAAAGGATGTTCGGCTTTTCTTTGGGGAATGTCATTGGCCTGAAAGGAAAAGTAGTTTCCTAAACTAAATGACTTGGCTGGATGGATCACCCTACCGTGAAACTTACAGTTGCCAAATTTGACCCATGTACTCAGAGCTTTTATTCAGCTTTTTCATCTCCTTTCAAATTTTTTTAAATGAATTTATTTTGAAGACAGGGTCTTGTGTTCCTGGGCCCAAGTAATCATTCTACCTTAGCCTCCCAAATACCTAGGATTAGATGCATATGCCACCATGCCCAGCTTCATCTCTTCCTCTTAAGTATTCTGTATGATTTTTTAAAATACAGTGAATTTTGGGCCAGGGAGATAGTTCAGTAGAATAAGAGCTTGCCTGACAAGCACAAGGTCCTGAATTCAATCCCCGGTACCACCAAAAATAAAAATAAAAATAAAATAATTAAAAAATAAAAGTACAGTGAATTTTAAATTTTTTAAAATTCATTACAATAAAAGACACATGGACAGTAATCCCACTCAACCTCCCACCCCCTGTTTCATATATACCATTCTTACCACTTTCTGAAGCAGTTCTGTAGGTCATTTTTCATGTTTTTAGTTTTACTGTTGTAGCTGTCTCAATACCTTGAATCAACTCAAAACATTTACCTTTTATACTCATTTTGACTTTGGGAAGAGCAGTAGAATTCACCATTTTTTTTTTTTTTTTAATCACACTTTGTAAAGGTACTTAAAAAACAACTTCCAGAACTGCTTCAGAAATTGGCAAGAATGATGGGATAAGTGTTTTGGAAGGGGGGGTGGGGTGTAATGGCAATGTAGTTTTTAATGTAATCCTTTTTTAAAAAGATTTTAAGCAGTCATTGTGTACTTTGTTCATACCTTGTAAGCAGGTGACCACAGATTGACAACCAAAGGTACTCTAGAAAATGAAATAGAACCAGACAGGAAGAAAACACCTTGGAAAAACAGACTGCATAGGGGAAATAAACCTCAAAAGAAAAAGACACTATGTCTTCAGAGATAAGCATATATAGTTGTCATCTGTTATCCATAGTTTTGCTTTCCAAGATTCAGCTAACCACAGTCATTACAGTAAAACATTTTACATGGGAAATTCCAGATGTAAATAGTTCTGAGTTTTAAATTGCATGTTGATCTGAGTAGTATGACATTTCATGTCATTCTAGTATATCGTATCTAAGGCGTGAAGCACCCCTTTGTCCACTGTATTCATGGATTATACATTTTCCTTGTTAGTCATTTTATAATTGTCTTGGTTGTCAGATTAGTGGTTGAGGTATGCAGGTAACTTATATTCATCCAACCCTTGTTTTACTTAATAATGGCCCCAAAGCACAAGAGGAGTAGTGCTAGCAATTCAGATATACCAAAGAAAAGTGACAATGTGATATTTTAATGAAAAGGTAAAAGTTCTTCATTTAAGGAAAGAAAAAAATCATGCTGTTGTGGAAAGAAAGAAAACTGCTAGTTTTTTTCTCACGCCTCAAATTACAGAAGTTGTGACCACAGTGCATGATATTGAAGGTAGAAAAGGCATTAAATTTGTATGTGGATAATAGGGAAAAATATGTTTTGGGTACTGTTTGAAGTTTCAGACATCCACTGGAGGTCTTATACATACGCCTGGGATAATGTGATTGCTGTACTACAAACATGAACAGGATACGATTTATTTTATTTTTTT